GGAGGGTGTGGTGTCCCCCGGACTGCCAAAGCTGATGAGGAATAGGCCTAGGGAGGAAGGGGCTGGCCACCCGAGGGCTCACACCTTCCAGAGGATGTTGGCAGGAGGGGAGTAGGGGTGTCACCGGAAGTCCTCAGGTCTCTGGGCTGTAGCTGACTCACCCAGCCTCTGATAACACTCATAGGTCAGACTCCAGCCTTGTGCTCCAGAGGTCCCCAGGGGAGACACCTGATATCCTGACTCTATGAGAGGCTGACCAGGAGGACGGGCAATCCAAGCTGAAGGTCTGGCAAGGCTTTCCAGTGGAGGGGTCTTTTTTGGCTGGGCTTTGAAGTTTGAATAGGAGACAAGTTAGGGAGGTCTTTTTTTTTTTTTTTTTAAGATTTTATTTATTTATTCATGAGATAGAGAGAGAGAGAGGCAGAGGCAGAGGGAGAAGCAGGCTCCCCGCGGAGCAGGGAGCCCGATGCGGGACTCGATCCCAAGACCCTGGGATCATGACCTGAGCCGAAGGCAGACGCTTAACCGACTGAGCCACCCAGGCGTCCCCGAGGTCGTGATAGAAGGGTACGTTGGGAGAGCTGAAGACATCTGATGTGGCCTGGGAGCTTTGGAAAATGAGTCCATAGAAGCCTCAGTGGGGAGACTTGGGCTCAACACCGTTTCCATTCTAGACAACACCCAGTCGAGTACCAGGAGGCCCCCAGCTGAAAAAGAGCCCAACTGAGTGGATGGGGTTGGGGGAGCCCACATGGCACTGCCTGCCTCTCTATGCCCTGTTCCTCCCCCTCTAGCCGGTCAGAGGTCCCTTCCTCACCTCACCAGCCTCAGCCCTGGCCCAGAGAAGGTCAGCCTGCTGCAGAACCACACAGCAAAGTGCAGCGTTGGAACTCCGCTGACGCCCAGAAGGCCCAGGGCAGGCATCTTCACAGAGAAGTAGCCTAAACTCGGGAGCCGGGACTTTGTCCTGCAAGGGTGATGGGGGCTATAGAGGGTGTAGGAGCAGGAGAGGGGCAGGGCCAAGTGTGATGCTTCAGCAGAAAGTTCCACATAAAGAAAGGGCCCAGGAGGACTCCAACACAAACTCTGTAGCCTCAGATGCCAGATTTCTCTCTGCGCCCGGCTGAGTAGACACTGGGACTAGAAATACTAGGGTTATAAGAACAATTACAATAATAGCAATGACAGGGGCGCCTGGGTGGCTCAGATGGTTAAGCATCTGCCTTCAGCTCAGGTCATGATCCCAGGGTCCTGGGATCGAGCCCCACATAGGGCTCCTGGCTCAGCGAGGAGCCTGCTTCTTCCTCTCCCTCTGCCTCTCTCCCTGCTCATGCTTTCTCTCTCTCTCTCTCTCTCTCTCTCTCTCTATCTCTGTGTCTCGAATAAATTAAAAAAAAATTAAAAAAAAAATAATGGCAATGACAATGATAACCTGTTTGTTCACTTTTCTGATGCCCTACATTTTGCTTTTGTCCCCGTGGCAACCCCAAGAGGTGGGCAGGCCAGCTTTCATTATAGTGTTATTGTTGTTGTTTTAAAGATTTATTTATTTGAGTGGGAGAGGGGCAGAGGAAGAGAGAGAATCTCAAGCAGACCCTGTGCTCGATCTTATGACCCTGAGATTACTACCTGAGCCCAAACCAAGAGTCGGACGCCACCCAGGCACCCCTCCTTACAGCTGTTGGCATCAAAACCCACAGTCGAGGTTGGGGACCTGCCCGCCGTAGGCACAGCCCCCTCCCTTTGGCACAGGGCCTTGCTCACCTGGATGAGGTGATCACCTGGGTTAGGTGAGGTGGTGAGCCCCTAGCTGCGGCTGACTGTTCCTTCCCATCCAGATGCTTTTCACCAGCCCCCAGGAGCCAGGCCCTGTCCTGCTCACTCCTGTCCACTGCTTCAGGAGGAAGGGGCCTTGGTGGTCGCCTAAATCCAGGTGAGACCCAGAGCAGTGAGTGCCCAAGGTCACACCCAGGAGGGAAGGATGGTGAGCTGGGTCATGGCTGCCTTCTCCATGATCCTGGGCAAGTCACTTTACCTGGAAGGACCTTGATCTCACTTTTTTTTTTTTTTTTTAAGATTTTATTTATTTAGGGCGCCTGGGTGGCTCAGTTGGTTAAGCGACTGCCTTCGGCTCAGGTCATGATCCTGGAGTCCCTGGATCGAGTCCCGCATCGGGCTCCCTGCTCGGCAGGGAGTCTGCTTCTCCCTCTGACCCTCCCCTCTCTCATGTGCTCTCTCTCAAATAAATAAATAAATCTTAAAAAAAAAAGATTTTATTTATTTATTTGACAGAGAGAGACACAGCGAGAGAGGGAACACAAGCAGGGGGAGTGAGAGAGGTAGAAGCAGGCTTCCCCGCAGAGCAGAGAGCCTGATGTGGGGCTCAATCCCAGGACGCCGGGATCACAACCCGAGTCGAAGGCAGACGCCCAACGACTGAGCCACCCAGGCGCCCCGATCTCACTTTTAAAATAGGGGTGAGGGGCGCCTGGATAGCTCAGTCATTAAGCGTCTGCCTTCGGCTCAGGTCATGATCTCAGGGTCCTGGGATTGAGCCCCTCTGCTTCTCCCTCTCCCTTTACCCCTCTCCCCTATCATGCACACTCGTGCTCTCTCTGTCTCTCAAATAGATGAATAAAATCTTTAAAATAAAATACAATTGACCTATTCTAAAAAATAAAATAAAATAAAATAAAATAAAATAGGGGTGAAAATTTCATGGGGCTTCCAAAGAATGGAGCCAGAGTGTGTGTTGAGGGGTCAGAAAAGTGCCACGTGGGGCCTGGCTGGCTCAGTTGGTAGAGAATGGGACTCTTGATCTCAGAGTTGTGAGTTCAAGCCCCACATTGGGTGCAGAGATTACAAAAATTAAAAAAAAAAAAAAAAACCTTTAAAAGAAAAGTGCTCCATGGAGGTGCCAGGCTGGAAAACGTTCATTTATGTTCCCAGGGAAGAACTTGGGGCCAGTGGCCTCTCTAGGGCACCTGCCCACGGTCTGCTCTGGGGAAGGAGCAGGAGGCTGTAGGGAGGAGGAGAAGGGTGTCCACCGATCAGCTGATGGATTGAGCTTCCTGGCCTTGCCTCTTGCCTACTCCCAGGGGCCGCCTGAGCAAAGGGCGGAGGGCAAAGGGCAAAGGCTTGTGCCTGGCCTCTCCCTGGCCTCCTGGGGCCACTTAGAGACGTTATCTAGGCTCAATCCTGACAGCTGCCTTTCCCAGAGGGCGTGCTGGGTGTGGCATGGGTCTTCCAGGTCAGCATCTGTAAGCAGCCCCCTCACCTGCCGGAACCATCACCCTAGGCCTGGGGGCCAGGGGCAGGTACCTGTTCTAGAGGAAACTCAGGCCTAGGGATCTTTAGCAGCACCCACACTTGGGAAGGGCTGAGCCAGGACTCATGGCCAGGTCTGGCAGGCCCCCAGAGGCGGGAGTGACCGTGCAGGGGTCTGAGCCTTGCAGAGAAGCTGGACCAGAGTCCTCAGGCCCCAGAGCTGCCCTGCCATCTGACACTCAGCTCCTTAGGCCTTGGCAACTCTCTTCGAGGCCTGGGAATTTCTGGGGGCCTCAGGAGAATCACAGTCTGTCACAGGCCACTCGTGGGGACCCCTTTGGGTATACCTGGGCCGGTGTTCCCAGTGTCCAGGGTCCTATGGTGGGGGTTCACGTGGCCCAGGGCTGAAAAGCAGAACCTTTGCAGCACCCTGGGCCATGCCCTGCCCTCTCTGGGCCTCAGTGTGCTCATCCCCATTATGGAGCCCAGTGGCCTCAGACAGGCGTTCCAGGGCCCCAGGGGGACTCGGGACCACCGGATGAGGTGGAATGCTGAGTTCTCAGAATCCCAGGGCGCATCAACGCTGTCCTGCCAAGTGGCCAGGGCTGGAGGAGGTGACCGCTGAGGGTAGAGGAGGATTTTCTCTGCTCAGAATCTGGGTCCAGACAGTGGACTGCAAGACAGAGGCCCAGACACTCCCAGGTTGGGGGAGGGAGCCGGGAAGGGTCTAGATCTAAGCACATCAGAGGGTGGAGGGCCCATCTGGACACCCCATGTAGGTAACTGCCTGCCCCCCCTTCCCCCGCCCCCAGGTGAGCGTGGTCTGACCCCATGCCCCAGACAAGCCTTCCAGCCTGGGGCGGTAGAGCCCAAGGCCGGCGGCCCAGCCTCGGGGGTCCGGGCGCCGCCTCTGCCCAGGGCTCGGGGCGCTGAGCGGTGGGGTGGGGTGGGGTGCTATTATCTGGCGCTACCAGGCCCGCGCGGCTCAGGCTCACGTGGCCGCGGCTCTGCGCCTCCCCAGCCCCAGGACCGAGTCTCGGCCGGCAGATAAGCCCGGCGCTCCCAGAGCGCGTCCAGCACCGGCCGGGCCGGGCCGGAGCTCCCCGCGGGGCCCCCTCCCCGCCTCCCCCCTCCCCGGCCGGCCCGGCCCACTTGGCCCAACTTCCTCTCCATAAAAGGCGAGGTTTGGGAGCGCCCGGGGAGGGGGCGTTGGGCTCACACGCCCGGCCGCGGAGCTATGCCTGGGCCGCCCCCCCAAGTCCTCCTGCCCCCAGGGAGCCGTCGGCGGCCGGGGCGGGTGGGGGTGGGGGTCCCGGATCGGGGAGGTTCTATAAATGCCCGCTCCCCTGCCCCGGGCGTCCCCCAGACCACCATCCCGACCGCGCTGCCCTCCTCCGGACCCGTCCGAGGCCGTGCACTTTGTCCCCACTCTGTGTTTGAACAGTCTGAGGCCCACAGCCAAGCGGGTCCGGGGAGCGCGGGGCTGGGCATCTGGGAACATCAGGAACCACCAGCGTGTCCGAGGGTCACACCTTAACTCAGCTCCGCGAGTATGCTTACGAATCATACTTCGTGGGGACTGTGGAGTGCATTTTAATACCTGTAGAGATTGGGCACTCCCTCCCAGGCATACTTGTCACTTGGCTAGTGTGTGACTTTGGGGCGCCCTGCCTCAGTTTCCCCATCTGCTTTCCCTCTCCGGAGTTTGTGCAAATGTCAAGTACAGCACCCAGCCGGCCCGGCGCGGGGTTAGAGCCGGAACCCGCTGAGGGCTGGGGGCGCGGGTGCTTCCCGCCCGCACCGCCCTGGCCCCTCCGCGGGGAGCCCACAGGGCTGCGTTGAGGCTGAGAGGCAGTGGATGCCGAGACAAACAGTGGGTGCTCAATAAATGCAGCGCAGCCCCCCCCCCCAAGGGTGAGTCATCCCCGTCCTGGCCCTGGGCCGGGGAGCAGGGCCCTCGGGTGTCATCTGGCTCCACCCGCCGTGCGATGTGACCTGGGCAGGGCTCCGCCCCTCTCCCGGCCTCAGTTTCCCGCCGCCTAAGTTCGGGGGAGGGCTGGGCCAGGCCAGCTGCGGGGCGCGGGCGGCCCCCGCGCGGCTCCCCCCCCAGGCGCTGCCCGCGGTCTCCGCCGGGCCCGGCCACGTCCGCTGCCCACGGGGCCGCCATAAAAGGCAAGCGGCCGCAGGTCGCGCAGCCAAACTTAGTCATCCGGCCCGCGGGCCGCCGGGCTGCGCGCGGCAGCTTCCTCCCCGAACTTCCCGTTTTCCGAGGGGCCCGGGGAGGGGGCCCGAGGTGCGGCCTGGGCCTTTCGAAACGCTTCGGCTCAGCGGCTGGGGGCTTGGCCAGGGGGCGTCCCCGGCTGGCGCTTTCATCCCGGAGCTGCGGGTCGGCGCCAGCGAGGGCGGCCCGGGCTGCCGCCCAGATAAATCTCAGCCAGGGGCCATCTGTGCAGTGTGAGAGCCTCCGGGCGAAACCACCCTGCCGGCGTCCCTGGAGCAGGGATCGGTCACGGGTATGGGACGGAATGCAGTGCAAAGGAAGGACCAGCTCGCCCGCGCTACAGTGGCTGGCGGTGCATGAACCCCAGGGGCACCCCTCGAGCTGTCTGCTTCCGGCTCCATGTACAGGCAAAGCTAACTCGAGGTGAGGGCAGTCAGGATGGTGGCTGTCCAAAGGTGGGGGCAGGTCCCGAGTGGCTGGGAGGCAGGGACAGAAGCCTTCCTGGAATGGACGTGCTCCCTGAGCCATCCAGGGTGGTGGCCCTTTGGCTGCACAGTCAAGTTGGTGACCTCGACTATAGGGAAATTATACCCCAATCCAGAATTGTTAAAAAAAAAAAAAAAAAGGAATGCACACACAGGACACTCCCATACATTGTTTAGGATTGTCCACAAAGGTACACAGGCCATAGGAACATGGGAGGGAGTCATTGTTACAGCTTCAGTTGTAGAGGTGGGAGGGGGCGCAGGGAGACCCATGGAAAGGTGAGTGTCCACTGATTCTGATCTCCTATATTTCTTTCAGAAAACAAAGCTGAAGGAAACACGGAAAGATGATGACCAGGTCTGGGAGTACGTTGTTGTCCTCTCTGTCCTTTTCCGTGTATTTGAAATACTGCACAAACTTTTCACAATGAAAGGGGGAAAAAAGCACAATGGCGTGGAATCGGACATCGTGGTCAGCCTCTCTGACCCTCAGTTACTTCTTCGGTACAATGGGGCAATCAATAATCCCTTTGGGGAAAGTTTATTGAGAATTATATGCAGTGATGTATGCAAAGTGCTGAGTATGAGCCCGAGGTATGTTGTAGGTGCTCGACAAAGGGGTCTGTATGGGGCTTCCCCTTTTCCTCAGCGCCCCCTGGGAGAAGGGAGGACTTGCTAGGGTGGGGGGCCAGGGTGGGAAGGTCTTTAGCCCACAGCTCCATTAGGCCAATGGCCTAGGCTGGCCTGGCTGGGAAGGCTTGTGTTTCTGACAAATGGGGCCAGCCAGCCCCATGCCCTGCCTGTCCCGTCCTGTCCTGACTGTCCTGTCCCCAAGGCCAGGGTCACTCTAGGTGAGGCTCAGGGCCAGCGTCCCAGCAGGACACACGCCGGCAGGTCATCTGGCCTTGGATTCCAGGTGGCTGGATCTTTAGGAAGCCTCTGTGGGTGGCAAGGACACACAGGGATGGTGGGTGCCAGCCAGTTGGTCAGCCGTGTTGGGGACACAGAGCCCAGAGAGCCTCAGAGGGCTGTGGGCAACCCAGGTCAGCAGGAAGGAAGGGAGGAGGGTGTAGGGAGGAAGGGAGGAGGGGTTAAGAAAGGGCATCCGGGAAGGGAGAGGGAAGAGAAAAGAGAAAGCAAAAGGACTGTAGCCTGCTTTTCCTCCCACTACATTTGAACTCCCATACGTGGGCACTGCATCTGGGCTCTCTGGTGAAAGCCTCCCATGACCCTCCTGGGGGATGGAGATCCCCAAAGGCAGCAAGTTTACATGACTAGGCCAAGGTGACCCTGCTGAGAAGGGCAGGGTCTGACGGGAGTGTGAGCAAGAGAGCCTGACAGAGAGAGAGATTGTGTGGCCAGGGGACAACAGAGCCCTTGGTAGAGGGTTTGAAGCTCAAGTGAAGGGGAGGCCTAGGAGTGAGGAAGGCGGGGGCGCTGACAGGGCCTTGGGGCAGGACTGAGGCAGGACTGGCTGGAAGACACACCTCTCGGGTGCCCTCTAGCGGGGACATTCTCCTCCCGGGCTAGGTGGCTCTGTGTGTCCAAGCGTCAGGGAGTGACGGGATTCTCCCCATGCGACCCAGCCCACCATAGGTATCCCCCCCCATAGCACCTCATTTTCAACCCTCCCTCACCTCCTCAGGCTCTGCCTCACCCCAGGCCTTGCTGGACAAGAGGAGGCCGTGGGAAAGCATCAAGCAAGAGGAGCGTCCTTAGCAGCCCCAGGACCCAGCCATCACCCACCCACCAAGAGGTCTGGCTGCAGTCTCCCAGAGACCCTACTGGGGGAGACATTTCTCTCCTCCTTTTTTAGAGGAGACATCTGAGGCCTAGAGGGCACACAGGCACCCCCTCTCTCATGCACACGATTGCACTGAGGGGCTGGGCACTCTGAGTCTGAACATCTGGGTGAATGCACTTGGAGCTCAGAGTCCGGGCGCTACAGCTTCTGGGGCTGGTTGAAGAATCTAACCTTCCCTGCTGAAGACCCCGTAACCCCCTCGTCTCTTGCAGACTCCCCCACCACCACCTTGGAATGAAGATCAGATTTTAGCCTGCCCCAGGCGCTCTGAAGTCAAGGTTGACCCTGGAGAAAATAGCTTATACTCCAAATGAAAGACAAATGTTGCTAATTTCCTTTTTTTTTTTTTTTTTTAAGATTTTATTTATTTGTCAGAGAGAGAGAGAACAAGCAGGGGGAGCAGCAGAGGGAGAAGCAGGCTCCCCGCTGAGCAAGGAGCGGGACGTGAGGCTTGATCCCAGCACCCTGGGATCATGACCTGAGCCTGAGGCGGATCTTAACCGACTGAGGGGCCCAGCAGGTGTCCCCAGATGTTGCTAATTTCCATCAATAGGAAGGTAGGGGCTCTGGGTGGAGAAGGGCTCTGGGGTGTGAGGCCCAACAGGGTGGACTACGACACAGCATGGGGTGGGGCTGGGTTTATGGGTATGAACGGTGGCCAGAGAGTCAGAGTGTAAGGGGTCAGCTGGTGCGGCTGGAAGGGCCTCCAACAGTTTGCCAGGCTTGTAGACTGAAGTTTCAACCAACCCATCCGTGGCCTATACTCAGTGAGGCAGATAGGCCAGAACTTTCCCGGGATAAGTGGTAGGAAGAGGCCCACGGGAGTGACTTATAGGTAACCTGCACACCTTTGGAGGGGCAGTGTCCTCATCCCTGTGCAGGTAACCCCTGTGGGCGGGCAGCAGGGGGTGGTATTCCACTGGCATGGCCTCCTGATCTCAGGGGGCTGATGGAACCCCGAATGGCAGAGGCTGAGTGGAGACTCTTAAGCATCAGAGGCCAGGTGGGACACAGAGATGACACAGAGATGGAGCTATTCCTGCAAAGTACCAACCTGCAGGAGTTTTTGATGGAGCCTGATCACGGTGTTCTTAGGACTGAAGTAGCTGGGCTCCCCTACAGCATCGCTTGGACGATATAATGGGAAAACGCAAGATCTGGTGGATAGAGACCCGACCGGAGCCCCCACAGTTTAGAATTTCTAGGCTTGGGAGATGTTATTTAGTGCATGAATAAAGAAACGCATGTATCGGTTACCGGGCCACACATTTGTACTTTCAACTTGCTGACAGCTGTAATCACAAAGTTTCCTTTGTAATTCTATGCATTTTATTTTATGAATTTAAAAGCATCACTCCGGGGGCGCCTGGGGGGCGGGGCACAGTCGGTTAAGCCTCTGACTCTTGGTTTTGGCTCAGGTCGTGATCTCAGGGTCCTGGAGTGGAGTCGGGCTCCATGCTCAGCGGGGAATCTGCTTGAGACTCTCTCTCCCTCTGCCTCTCCCACTTGTGCTCTCACTCTCTCTAAAATAAATAAATAAATCATTTTAAAAAAAGTGCATCATTCTGACCAAGTGTCTGTCCATGACGAATGGATAAACAACAGGTACATACAATGAGATATAATTCCACTTTTTAAAAAAAATTTTATTTACGTATTTGACAGAGAGAGGCAGAGAGCACAAGCAGGGGGCGTGGCAGGCAGAGGGAGAGGGAGGGCAGACTCCCTGCTGAGCAGGGAGCCCGATGTGGGGCTCGATCCCAGGACTCCAGGATCATGACCTGAGCCGAAGGCAGACGCTTAACCGACCCGAGCCACCCAGGCGCCCCATAACTCCACTTTTAAAGGGAAGGGGATTGTGACAAGTGCTAGGACATGGATGGGCCTTGAGGAGTAAGCCAGCCACTAAAGGACAAATACTGTACGAATTACGCTGGCATGGCATATCTCAAGTTACTCGGAAACAGAAAGTACAAGGGTGATTACCAGGGGGGTTAGGGGAAAGGAGAATTTAAAGGATACAGAGTTTCAGATTTGCAAAAAGAGAACGTTCTGGAGTGCTGTTTCACAACAGGGTGAATACTTACGACCAAACTCCCCAGTTAAAATTGTTTAAGATGGGACATGTTATGCTATTTTACCACAGTTTTAAAAAGGCAGGATGCAATAAAAACACAGCTTAAGGGCTTCAACATTTTTGAAAAAGCATGATTCTGAGAAGGGGTCCCTATGCCGCCCTTAGATGCTAAAGGCGACCGCAAGATCCCCGGCACCCAAAAGGTTAAGAGTCCCGGCGCCTCCTATTGGCCGAACCTAGCAGGAATTCCGGGGGCGACCAGGGATTCTGGGAATCGTAGTTTGCAGCCCCCAGCCGGAGCCTCGCAGTGAAGGGTGGGCTTGGAGCCCGGAGACAATGGCTGCGAGACCGGCATCGGGGCTGGCGGGGAATTCGCGGGATGCCAGCTCAGCGCGCCTGTGCCCGCGCTGCAAACGGGCAGCCTCGTATACAGTCACGGTCACTTAGACCGGGCGCACACACCTGTCCACCTGCACCACGCGCCGCACGTGGCGCCCCGGTTTGCAGTTTGCCTCTTTTCCGATCTAACTGCCCACCCGAACATCTGCGGGTCAGGCGGGCAGCTGCCCCCTTGCTCTTCTCTGACACATTCCCGCGGGAGCAGATGCCTTGGCAGTGACCGTGGGAAGGATGTGCAGGCTACAGGTGCCCAGGGAGGAGCGAGCCAGTCAGAGGGCACAAGCTAGTGCAAAGGCCCTGAGGCAGGAGCCTGCGTGGCCACTAGGGTGGATGGGGGAGAACGGCAGGGGACGAGGTAGGGTTGGCCTCGTGGCAACGATGAGGCCTTTAGACAAGACTCCGGCCGGGTCTTCAGGTGCGCGCAGGACCGCTGCCTAGGGAATCGAGTGACACTGTCCCCTCCGGGGCTGCCGCTGAAGCCTCGAAGTGACTCAGCGGAATTCCCGGGAGCTGGGGGCGGCTGGGAGGGAAGCTCCAAAGGGGCTGGGGAGGGGCGTTGCCCGCGCAGAGGCCCCACCCCCAAGCTCCCGCGGGCCGCGGAGCACAACCGCTCCGGAGTCCTCCGCCCACCGGCTCCGGGCTGCCTCCGGCCCCATCCCCGGGCGGGGCTGGTGGTGGGAAGTGGCCTGAGGATTTAGGGAAGAAGTAGGGAGCTGGAAACCCGACCTGGGGAGGGGGCAGGAGGACGGGCATTTCTCCCACCCTCCTGGCACCTCCATCCCTGAGCTTGGCCTCGGCTGGCGGTGGGGCCAACTGGAAGGAACTGGCGTGGGGTGGGGGCTGGCTGTTTCTAGTACCGGGACCCAGGCCTTTGGAAGGGGTCTGGGTGGACAGAGGTGGCCCGGTCTGAACTCCCTGCTGGCTCAGCCGGGTCAGGCTCTCTCGGGGACTAACTCCCTTCCTCTAAATAAAGGGAATTGTTCAATAAACAGGCTTTCAAGGATGATCATAAATTCCCCGGTGGCACACTGGGCGTGCGTGTGTGCGCGCGTGTGTACGCGCGCGCGCACGTGCAACGTCCCCATATACACCCGGGCCGGGGCAGGCTTGAGTGGACCAGGGCAGCGGCACCAATATTCTAAGAACCGAGCCTCTGTTTTCCAATGAATACAATGGGTATAAGGACCCCCAGAATGCGGCTTGCTGGAGTCAGCGGCAAGCTGCGCGCTGCCCACCTAATTCACCTAATTCACCGCAAGAGCCACCCTGGCCCTTGCACCCAGGGGCAGCTCGACTGGGAATGCGAATAACTGTCTGCATGGCCCAGCTCCAACGTGCCTCCGTAGGGAAGCTGTCCACGACTACCAAGACAAAAGACACAGCTTGCTTCCTCCTAGGCGCGGGAGAGGAGGGGACCCCACCCAAAACTGCGCAGCGCTCAGGGACCCTGCGCCATCTCTACCTCCGGATGGGGCTGCAGGGCTCCTGACGGCCACCAGGTGGCGCTAGAGACGCGCCTGCTTCGCCAAGCTGGGCGGGGCTGGACCCGTACAGGAGTCAGGAGTAGGGGCCTCTCCGGAAGACTTTGCCTCAAACCTATTTAGAAGCCCTTTACGCACAAAAAAGAAAAAAAAAAAATACTGCGTTCAAAAAACGCATAATGAGTCAATACAGGTTTAATAACCGCCAGTCATTATATATTTATGTGGTCAAAGTACAACTGAACTAGCCTTATCTGTCCTAGCCTGAGGCCCAGGGACCCCAGCATCCCTCCGAGTTGCGGGTCCAGAGCAGGGGCCTGAGGACCATGTCCTGGCTGGGTTAGAGGACAGAGAACTGGATGGGGTGCTTCTCAGAGCAGGGAGGGTTAAGCCAGGCTTTAAAAGTGGGTAGAATTTGGAGGAGAGCGGAGAGGGCATTCTAGACTGGGAAGTAGAACTGGTCCCAAGTGAAGTCGGTCACTCAGGTGGGTAAGAGGGTGGCGTTTGGCAGGTGTGTGGGGCTGTGACTGCCTAGGTAGCACTGCCCAGCTTGGGACTGGCCACGCTTTGTCCCAGAGTGGTTTCAGGGACACTGACAAATATGGAGGCCACCATGGGCTGTGCTGGGCCCTTGAGGATACAATGGACCTGCCTGTTTTCTCCCAAATAACATAGCTCCCCATGGCCCCTGAGACGAAACTGGGGGCCTCAGCCTGAACCTGCCAGCTAATGGCAGCTGGACCTCCAAGTTCCATGGGTCAGAATGGGCTGGGCGGTGACTCTGACCTGGGAGCAGTAGGCGGGAGGGGGGAATATCCAGAGAGGCCCAGGTCATTTTTTTTTTTTTTTTTAAGATTTTATTTATTTATTTGACAGAGAGAGACACAGCCAGAGAGGGAATACAAGCAGGGGGAGTGGGAGAGGGAGAAGCAGGCTTCCTGCTGAGCAGGGAGCCTGATGCGGGGCTCGATCCCAGGACCCTGGGATCATGACCTGAGCCGAAGGCAGATGCTTAACGCCTGAGCCACCCAGGCACCCCGAGACCCAGGTCTTGATCCCCTTCCAGTCCAGACCTGATCAAGGAGGAAGGGCCCTGGGCTGGGAGATAGGTGTCAAAGTATCATTTCCAAAAAGCTGAAGTTGGGACATCTGGCTCGTTCACTCGGTAGAGCATGGGACTCTTGATATTGGGGTTGCGAGTATGAGCCCCATGTTGGCAGTGTAGATTACACTAAAAAAAATCTTAAAAAAGAAAAAGCTAAAATCATGACTCTCATACAGTTAGACAAGGAGCATTTGTCAAAGATGTAATTCAACTCATTAATTAATGAGGTAGCACCAAGATGGTCAACTGATGCAAAGAGCATTTGAGGAACTATATTTTTCCCTCTTTCCCACCCTCCTGGGAAATTGGCATTTATATAATTAGTTTTAAAATGCTGGGAGGGGCACCTGGGTGGCTCAGTTGTTAAGCGTCTGCCTTCGGCTCAGGTCATGATCCCGGGGTCCTGGGACCGAGCCCCGCATTGGGGCTGCTCGGCGGGAAGTCCTGCTCGGCGGGAAGTCTGCTTCTCCCTCTCCTGCTCCCCCTGCTTGTGTTCCCTCTCTCACTGTGTCTCTGTCTGTCAAATAAATAAATAAAATATTTTAAAAAAAAAATAAAAAAATAAAAAATGCTGGGGTAAGATTCCTAAATTCAATAAAAAATAAAACAAAACCTGACTAATGTCCTTTGGGGCAATCAAGAGTAACCTTTGAACGACAAATAGCATATAATTTCACTTACATGTGGAATTTAGAAAACAAACACATGAACAAACAAGAAAACAAATAGACTCCTAAATACAGAGAACAAACTGGTGATTACCAGAGGGGAGGTGGAGGGGCGCAATGGGTGAAAATAGGTGAAGGGATTAAGAGATACAAACTTTCAGTTATAAGTAAGTCACAGAGATGAAAAGTACAGCATAGGGGACGCCTGGGTGGCTTAGTCGGTTAAGCGTCTGCCTTCCGCTCAGGTCATGATCTCAGGGCCCTGGGATCGAGCCCCACGTTGGGCTCCCTGCTCAGCAGAGTCTGCTTCTCCCTCTTCCTCTGCCCCCCAGCTTGTGCTCTCTCTCTCAAATAAATAAAATCTTAAAACAAAAACCAAAACAGCAACTTTGGGTGTTATCTTTTCTATCAGACACAAATCCACAGGGTAGTCTATAACTTCATCAAGTCTGAGCCCTTAAAAATAAATAGCAAGGCAAACAGAAGTTTCCTAGAGAGTTAAGTCATCTGTAGGTGCACACGTTACACAAGGCAGTCCCTCTCTGGGCCTTATTTCCTGGTTTTGGGTGACTTTTCCTGACACAGGAGACGTGGGTGCTTGTCCAGGCCGTGACACATGGCAAAGGCGGGAATACCTCTCATCCTTTCTGGCCTCAGCCTCCTTAGCCAAGGAACTTGGACCACATCTTCCTGCTCCAACAGTCTCCACCCTCCAAGACTGATTTTACCTCCAAGATGGACCCAAGATCCCCACTTCACTTCATCTCCACCCCTACTGTTGCCCTGTTCTGGACCAACTGTCTCAGGGACCTCAGAAAGGTAGTAATTAACACTGGGTTCAGAAGCACCTGGAACAGTGACAGTCCCCAGCTCGGCCCTCAGGTACTGTGTGATTCCAGGAAAACTTAGCCCCTCTCTGTGCCTCTATGTTCCCAGTTGGGCAAAGGGCAAGGCGGGGGAGGGGGGGGCTGCCGTTCTGCAGAGGCCCCCAGATTTGAGACTTTCGGAATCCCCTTTGCCCTTGATTCCACTGAATGCATTCAATTCAAATGAACTGAGCCAGTGGGGGAGATCTGATAAGCTCTTGGTGGTCAGGAGCTGGGAAACAAGGTCTGGTCTCTCAAGATAATGGGAGAGTCAGGCGCCTGGGTGGCTTAGTTGGTTGAGCGTCTGTCTTCTGCTCAGGTCCTGATCCCAGGGTCCTGGGACTGAGTCCTGCATAGGGTCCTCGGCTGAGCGAGGAGTCTGCTTCTCCCTCCTCTTTTTGCCCCGTCAAATAAATAAAATCTTAAAAAAAAAAAAAAAGATAATGGGAGAGTCAAGAGACTTTTTGTGGATTCAGCAGGAAATAGTTTGGCAGTTGATTGGTAATGTCTGTCATGAGTGCAAAAGTAAAAATAGGCTGTACGTTGTGTATTTACCCATCCTGGTCTAATCAGTACAGCATCCGATAGAGTCAGGATTCTGGTCCCAATTTTGCCACTGCCTTGCTGAGTAAACTGAGGAAATTAGCTCCAATGAGCTCAGTTTCCCCAGCTATATAATGAGAGTATCTTCCCAGGATTGATGTGAGAATGGTGCAAACATTGTCAATGAATACCTTCACGTTGCAAAAAATGGAAAACACCATTGAATCTTGCCTAGAGCAATGAATTTTGGCTTCCGTAACTGTCCAGAGATAATGAGACTTCAGGTATGGTATGATCAGGGTTCTGGCTCAATTTTTCTGTGCCTTTCTTGGCTTTGTGTTTTCCATAGGCCAGCTCTGTCTACAAGGTGGCCAAATGCCTGCTACAGGATCGGGTGGCATAACCACAGGCCACACTGACCTGGGGCAGACAGCTCTGTCCTGAGCCAGCAGGCTAAGCGACAGCCCTGAGGTTGTTCCTGATTGGGCAATTTCGGTCACATGCGCACCCCTGGAGCACTGACGGTCGTCCGGCTGGAGGGGAGGGGGGCAGGGAGGAGGAACCGGGGTGACCCCCAGGCTCAGGAGTTGACGGGAAGAGTGAAACGTGGAAAGCAAACCAGCCAAAAGGAGGGAAGGGTTGGGTGCTGGGCAGGAGCCCCGGAGAGGAGAGCACGGCGGATGGGGAAGGACTACCTGACAAGGAAGTCGTCCAGGCAGTCCGAGGACCGGCCGGGGGGCCGGCCGGCGCGGGAGGCGGGGGAGCAGCGCAGCGGCAGAGGTGTGGAGGGTGGAACGCGCGACTTTGGGGAAGGTGCCTCCCTTGGAGATGGGGGAAACCCCGCCCTGCAGGAAGCCAGTCGGGCTCCGGGCCCGGAGCCTCCACGCCCCCCTCGCCCCCCGCGGCGCCCTCGGCGGGCCCAGCCGGCAGGAAGCGGGGGCGGGGGCTCGCGGCAGGGGGTCCCGCAGGGCGCCGGGCCCGGGACGCGGGGGGTGCCGGAAGCACCGCGGAGCAGGGGTTGCCCCCTTCCCAGCCGAGCCCACAATTTGCAGGCTTCTCCGGTCGCGGGCGGGACCCCTGCTCACTCGGATCCCCGCTGCTTGGTTCCAGGCCCCCCGGCCCCCCGGGCCCCAGTGCGGCGCCCTCACCCTCTCCCCGCCCACAACCGCCCCATTGGCTTCCCAGAGCCGGGGCCTCCCCGGATTGGTCCCCCTCCGCGAGGCCACGCCCCCTCAACCGCACAATGCGGAGCCCCCCTCCCCCCCCGCCTCCGGGCCTCCAGGCGCTCAGACACCGCCGAACCTGGGGACCTGCTCCTCCCGGCCCCGACCCGGCGGCGCGGCTGAGTCACGGCCTCCCCGACGTGGCGGTTGTAATAGTAGCTGCGGTCGTGGTTGTTGTGAGAACCAAATGCACGGACTGAGGCCTTGGGGTCCCCGTCAGTGTCTCCCTACCTAGACCCCGCCCCCGGGGCTCTATTAGCTCCCTGGGACTGACCCCCCAAGTTACCCCCAACTCCTCCATTTCCCCTTCCTGCCAGGAGTGCTGGAGGTGGATGGTGGGTGGACATTAGTTATTTGATTATGAAGCTCTTACAGATGAGCAAACTGAGGCTCAGAGAGGGTAGGTAATCTGTCCCAAGTCACACAGCAGTCAAGGGTAGCCCATTACTAATAATGAGGAGTGGGGAAAAAGAGGAGAAGCGTGTGGGTAGTGTAATCATCCGTGCCCCACGCTCCTCCACTTTCTCCCCAAATACACCTGAGACCATCAGCTAAACCAGGGAGGGGTGGTCAGGCTGAGAGAAGGGTGTCCCCAGGCAAGCACCCAGTCTGCGGGCTGGAGGAGGGAATTTCAGTAAGAAAATTTGGCAGTGGTATTTAGAGAGCCTGGGCAGACTTTGTTCCCACCTCCCCCTCCCAGGCAAGTTTGGCCTCCTTGAGCTTTTCTTTCCTCACCTGTGAAATGGGATAATAACAGCTGTGAGGATTAGATGAGACCTACCTAGTGCCGGGCACACAGTAGAGACTAGACGTGGAGTGTCTTTGGGTACCATGAAGACCCTGTGAAGGGGCCAAAGTCCACAAAACATCCTTAGAGTAGGGTGGACCTGTTCAGTGCGGGCAGGGAGAGGGAGAGAGAATCCAAAAGCAGACTCCCGGCTGAGCACGGAGCTGGACCCCGGAGATCATGACCTGAGCCGAAACCAAGAGTCAGCAGCTCAACCGACTAAGCCGCCCAGGTGCCCCGTGGATGGTACTTATGAAGCTCAGGGAGAGGGTGGGCAGGTGCGAGGGACACTGGCCAGGACTCCTGGGGGTCAAGCTTGATGCATGTGGCATATCTCCAGGTGTGAGTCTTTCACCTGTGTCCTCAGTGGCCAGGGCTTCCCTTTACCTGTCTCCCAACCAGTCAGTGGCCCTGGCAGAAGCCTCCTGCTGTCCGCACCTCCCTGGCTGCTCACTGGGGCCTTTCCATTCTCCCTCCCAAACGTAGGAATCCAAACCTTCCTGCCACGGTTTCCCAAAGAGCCTCTGCGACCCAAAACATCTTTTTAAATTTCTTTTTAAATTTTGAAGCAAGTGGGCGCCTGGGTGGCTCAATTGGTTAAGCGTCTGCCTTCGGCTCAGGTCATGATCCTGGAGTCCCAGGATCAAGTCCAGCATTGGGGGTACCTGCTCATCGTGGAGTCTGCTTCTCCCTCTGACCCTCCCCCCTCTTGTGCTCTCTCTCAAATAAATAAATAAAACAAAATCTTTAAGAAAATTTTTGAAACAAGCACACAAAGTTTTAAGTATAATACAAAATGATTTTTTTCTTTCTTGAAACAATTGGAGAATCAGTTGCCAACCTGATGCCCCCTCTCCCCTTATATTCCCAGGTTTGTTCTTCTGTGTAAGTAGTCATATTAAAGTCACCCAAGCCAGGAAGTTAATATGTTACTATGTTACTATGTAAGGACACATGACTGTCCGCTAATCCTCAGACCCATTTCAAATATATCCCCAAAATGTCCTTTATAGCAAAAAAACCCCCCAAAAACATAAATCCAAGCCATGTGTCTGTCACTTTCAGCTGTCAGTCTCTTTAGTTGGCTCGCATCTGGACCCCTTCTTCAACCCATCCTTGCCTTTCATGACCTTGACACTTGAAAAGGCTACAGAGCAGTTACAGTCCAGGAGTGCTTTGGGTTTATCTGACTTTCTTGTTTTCTTTCCGACTTTGCCTCTTTGGTGGGAATATCACAGAGGTGATGCTGTGTTCTCAGCTTGTCCCCTCCTGATATTGCTCATTCTGATGATTCGATTAAAGGAGTGTCTGCCAGGTCTTCTCTAGAGAAAGTTGCTCTTCTTTTCTTGGTGAATAATCAATCTTTTGGGGATGTGCTATTTTATAAGATACTACATTCCTTCGGGCGCCTGGGTGGCTCAGTCGGTTGGGCGACTGCCTTCGGCTCAGGTCATGATCCTGGAGTCCCTGGATCGAGTCCCGCGTCGGGCTCCCTGCTCGGCAGGGAGTCTGCTTCATCCTCTGACCCTATCCCCTCTCATGTGTTCTCTCTCTCTCAAATAAATAAATAAAATCTTTAAAAAAAAAAAAGATACTACATTCCTTCTCAAACTTTCAATTTATGTGTGTATTTATATCTCTATAGAATCACATTTTCCTATTGTATTCAGTGGGTTGTAATCCGTTATTATAATTTTTTTTGGATGCTAAAATTGTCTCAGATTTGGGCATGCCTTCTGTGTGGCACCTGTGTCCTTTTGACATGTCGCACTTTTTAAGAATTTTTTTACAGCTTTATTGAGGTCTGATTGACATGCAATCAACCGCACATATTTGAAGTATAGGATTTGACATGTTTTGACATGCATACACCTCGGAAGCCATCCACACAGTTAGGGTAACAAACATATTCATCACTCCTAACGTTTTCCGGTGTGCCTTTGTTTGTTTGTTTGTTTTTTTAAGATTTTTATTTATTTGCAAGAGAGAGAATGAGAGACAGAGAGCATGAGAGGGAGGAGGGTCAGAGGGAGAAGCAGACTCCCTGCTGAGCAGGGAGCCCGATGCGGGACTCGATCCCGGGACTCCAGGATCATGACCTGAGCCGAAGGCAGTCGCTTAAACAACTGAGCCACCCAGGCGCCCCTGTTTGTTTGTTTTTTAAAAGATTTTATTTATTTATTTTGACAGAGACACAGTGAGAGAGGGAACACAAGCAGGGGGAGTGGGAGAGGGAGAAGCAGGCTTCCCGCCGAGCAGGGAGCCCGATGCGGGGCTCGATCCCAGGACTGGGATCATGACCTGAGCGGAAGGCAGATGCTTAAGGACTGAGCCACCCAGGCGCCCCCCGGTGTGCCTTTGTAATCCATCCCTCCCCACCCCACCCGCGTCCTCAGGTGACTGCTGATCTGCTCTCTGTCGCTACAGATCAGGTGACATTTTCTAAAATTTTAAAGCAATTTTATTATTATTTTTAAAGATTTTATTTATTTCAGAGAGAGCACACAGGGAAAGCAGACTCCCCGCTGAGCAGGGAGCCCGATGTGGGGCTCGATGTGGGGCTTGATCCCAGGACCCTGAACTCATGACCTGAGCCGTAGGTAGGTGCTTAACCTACTGAGCCACCCAGGCGCCCCTTATTTAACCACACACACTTTTTTGGTCTGACTTCTTTCCTCAGCCTCATTCTGTTGAGACTCCCCCACCATGTTGTGTGTATTCACAGTTTCCGTGTTTATTCGAGTACCATCCCTGCATCCTTTTTTTTTTAATTGAGAGAAATTCCCATTGCATAAAGTTAACCCAAAGTGCACACAACTCAGTGGCATTTAGCGCATTCCCAGTGTTGTGCAGACAGCACTTCTCTCTGGTTCCAGACCATTCTCATCACCCCAAAAGGAGCCCCACGCCTGTTATGCAGTCACTCCCTGCTCCCCACTAACCCTCTGTCCCTGGAAACCGCTCATCAGCTTTCTGTCTCTGCGGATTTATTCTGGAGATGTCGTTCGAATGGAATCCTACAATAGGTGGCCTTGCGTGCGTGGCTTCTTTCACCGGGCATGATGTTCCCACGGTCCGTCCACACCGTAGCCCCGATCAGGACTTCATCCCTCTTTATGGCTGAATACTATTCCAGTGTGTGCATACGCCCCATTTTGTTTGTCCTTTCCTCCTGTGATCCACCCTTGGATTGTTTCCACCTCTTGGCCGTTGTGAATATCAGCGCTGCTATGACCATCTGTGTGTGAGTTTTTGTTTGCACACCTGTTTTCAGCGCCTCCACGCGCATAGCTAGGAGTGATGTTGCTGGGTCCCGTGGTCATTCTGCCGCCCGGCTGGTCTGCAATGTCTGCGCCCTTTTACCTTCCCCCCAGCAGCCTAGGAGGCCGCAAGCTCCCCACGTCCTCGGCAATACTTATTTCCCTTCTTATTTTGTTACCACGGTCACCCTAGTGGGTGTGATCGTGGGTGGAGTCTCACTGTGGTTTTGATTGGCAGTTCCCGATAGCTGATGATAGGGGGCATCTTTCCATGTGCTTGCTGACCCCCTTGTACGTCTTTGGGGAATATAGGTCCTCACTGGTTTGCACACAAGATGTCCCAACCGCGATCAGATATTTCTCCCAGGGGCCCCCGGTCCCTGTTGCAGAGAATAGGGATGTAGGCACGAGGTGTGGCTGCTTCCAGGCCCTCTGGGGATGAGCTGGGAAATGTGTGTGTGTTCATGCACGTAGAGCGCACTCACACACAGCAATTCCTGTGCCTGTTGATCGATACTGCAGTTCCTGAGTTCACACTGATGCATCTCGGGGTTCACTGCGCTTTCCTCCCTTTCTGTGTTCATAGCTCACCTTCTCTGCCAGGGAGAACCTGGCTGCTGTTATCCTAATGTGCCTGTTTCTTTGCTCAGCCCCCAGATGCACCCCGCCTTGCAGGGGTCCCCCTCCCCTGCTCAGCCACCCTGCCTCCACTGCCCCCTCACCCCACGTGGGCTGGGACACCCCTCACCTCCGCTGCCTGGAGATGCTCTCCCCCTCCACTGAGGCCCCACTCCTGCGCACCCCCCAGGGAGGCACTCTCCACCTGCCGGCCTCTGGGCCCCGACCCCTGCTCAGAGCACATTGCCCCTGCCATGTGTGGATGCCCACCTTGCTCTGCCCCAGCTAACGGCCCCGGCGAATGGCTTTAGGACTCAGTTGTTCCAGAAGGGAAAGGAAAGGAGAAGGGGGCAAAGAGAAGAGGAAGGGGTCTCTTCTGTTTCTTGCTTTATTTTGAGAACTCATGGCACGTATGCAATTTATAACCAACACACTTCCTTTCGCTTTAACAAGATGCCCTATCCGCCCCCCCCCCCCAGCACACCTGCAGGTAGAGTTGGTGGGGGGAGGGAATGTGGTTCCAGGACCAGGGCTTAGGCCGCCACTGGCCTGGAAAGGGCAGAGCAGGGAGGGGGGCGCCCGGAGGTCTCCTATCCTCTTAGCTTCCTCCCCAGACAATGGGCTGCCTCCTGCAGCAAGAGATAAGAGCCACGTCGGGCGGACGGATGGATGGACCGACGGAATCCCAGCCTCCTGTCTGGTTTCCAGGCGAGGGCTGCTTCGCCCCCACCCCGCGCCCCCCTAGCGTGCAGGGCTTCTGGTCCCCATCACCCTGCGCCTTTGAGAAAGGGAGGTGCTGAGGCCCTGCCTTGGCTCTGGGACTCAGTCACTCAAGAAGAATGTTTTCTTTTGGTTTTAGTTAGCCTTTTTTTTTTTTTAACCGAGGCCTCCAGTGCCTGAAGTACACAGACCTTCTTTACTACTCCGTGTGTGCTGAGACGTGTGTCTAGGCCAGGACTCCGGCCCCTGTGGTGGGGAGCACTCGGGCCGAGGGGAGGGGAGCTGGATGGCTTCGTTCGGGGGGGGGGGGCGAAGGAACCTAAAATTTCTCAATAATTTTTATATTGGTTATATGTTGAAATGATCATATTTGAGGCATATTAATGGGTGAAATAAAGTATATTATTAAACACTGATTTCACTTAATTTTTCTTTTTTAATGTGGCTGCTGGAACAATTCAAGTTACATCTGTGGCTGGTACAGAACATTTCCAGCCCCCGAGGCCCCGGGAGCCCCACCACGTTAGCACCTCTGCTTGCTGTCACCCCAGACTAGCTGTGACTGTTCTTGAACTTCAGGTAAATGGGGTCACATGTCAAGGGCTCTTTCTTTTTTTTAAAAAAAGCTTTTATTTATTTATTTGACAGAGAGAGAGACAGCGAGAGAGGGACCACAAGCAGGGAGGGTGGGAGAGGGAGAAGCAGGCTTCCAGCAGAGCAGGGAGCCCGATGTGGGGCTCGATCCCAGGACCATCGGGGCTCGATCCCAGGACCCTGGGATGGTGACCTGAGCCGAAGGCAGACGCTTAACGACTGAGCCACCCAGGCTTCCCCCCGCAAGGGCTCTTTCTTGTCTGCAAGAGTCATCTGTGTTGATTGCGTGACGGCACACTCACGGGGAATTTACTAATCCAGACCCTAGATGGGACAAGGGGACCCAGTGGCCACCACAACAGCTGGGTCCTTGCCTCGGGGAGCTCACAAATGACAGAAATGATGCCCGGGGTTCCCAGGGGCTGCAGAGGGGAAGGAGGGCCTGAGCTGGGCAAGGCCCCCATCTGGGCTCTATGGGGTTGAACTGTGGCTGCCCCCCAAGATTTGTATCCACCTGGAACCTCAGAATGTGACCTCATTTGGAAATAAGGTCTTTGCAGATGTTGCTAGTTAGGGATCTCGCACGAGGTCCTGGATTATGGGCAGCCCTAAATCCCACGGATGGCGGTGTCTTTGTAGGGGAAAGGAGAGGGGGATTTGGGCACAGAGGGACATGAGGATGGAGGCCATGTGAGGATAGGGGAGAGATGGAGCCACGCGGCCACAAGCCCAGGACGGTTTGTGGCCACCAGAGGCGGGAAGAAGCGGGAAGGATCCTCCTCTAGAGCATCTGGAGTGAGCGCAGTCCGATTTCTGGCTTCTGGCCTCTAGAACCATAAGGAAAATTCCTGTTGTCTTAAGCCACATGGCTTGTGGTACTTTTGTTTCAGCAGCGCCAGGAAACTCAAACAAGGAGCAGGAGGGGAGCCCCTGCGGCCTCACTCACCCAGCAACGGAGGGGAAACCAAGGCACTGGGAGCAAGAGAGTGAGAGCTCCTCCCGGAGCCCAGGTCTGGGGCCTGGCCCTGCCTAGCTGGGCCTCCCCGGGCAAGTCAGCACACCTCTCTGAACACCACTGTCCCTGCAGAGGCCCTGCTGAGGCCGGACAGAGACCTTTCAACCAGGGGCTGATGGCACAGAGGATGGCGGGGAGGGGTATCTGTCCCTAGGAACCCCAGAGGCGCCCCTGAGCAGGCCTCCTGAGTGGTGAGAATCTCCAGCATCGTCCCCAAAACTGCTGTGTGGTCCTCGAAGACACTCCTCTACCGGGATTTTGCTTGTGTTGCTTTTATCAACAACCCCACGACTAGAACAGACACCGGGCTGGGGACTCTGCTGCCCTCTGCTCCCGCCATGAGCCCCCACCAGGCTGGGGGAGCTGGGGGAGGGAAGGGGGCTCTGTGGGCACTTCCCAGCCTCTGCACCCCCATCTTCCCATCAGCTGCCTTCCTCCTCCATCAGACCCTGGGGTGTGGGGTGAGAGGGAGCTTGGAGGCCCAGGACAGCAGGAGAGGAAGGGACAGAGGGGCCCCGCTCTGTCCCGGGGGCTGGGTCTGGAGGAGGGAAGCTGTTCAAGGTTACCACTGGCCATGACCCGGGCAGGCTTGAGGCCCTGCTCATGCTCCCCACTGCCAACCCCTCTCATGGTGTCAGTTCTGTCCCCAGAACAGAAACTGCTTTCTGGGCACATCTTCTGGGTTTTGCTCGGCTGGTCCTTGAGGCCCTCGGAATCCGGGCCTCTACCCCTGTTGTGGAGAGTTCCCTCCTACGGGGCTGCGGGCGGGCTGTGTTTCCTTCCCCAGCCTCAGCCCCAGGCTGGCTCCTCCCAACCATGTTCCTGCAGGGGACACTCCTGCTCAAGCCTCCCATGGCTCCCCAGTGCCCTCAGGATAAACCCCTGAGCACAGGCCTGCAGGTCTGGCCTCTGCAACCCTGTCTCCCCTCCCTTGCACCCCAGATCTAACTGCAGCTGGCCCCCTCAACTCCGGCTCCTATGCTGGCTCCAGTGGATGCATCCCCTTTTCCAGAACATTCCCCCACCGCCCCGTGGGGGAGGCAGCACTGCCCCCTTTCCACATGGCCTGGGCTCCCTAGTCCTCTCCAGTGGTCTGTGTTCCTGTCTTCCCCCAGAACGGTCCTGTCTCATTTACTGGGCGCAGCGGTAAGTGGTGGAGTCAGGCTCAGCCACCATTCAACTCCCGTCCCTAGGAATGTGACTCCTCCAGGGACTTCATTCCTCTCTGGTATTTGTCCTTTGTTGTCTGGCCCACTTCACATAGTGAACTGGAGGCTCGTCCATGTTGTATTCCTTCCTTTTGAAGGCTGAATAATATTCTGTTTATGGATGGACCACATTCTGTTTGTCCATCATCCATCGATGGACCCTGGGGTTGCTCCCACCTTTTGGCTAGTGGGAGTCACATTGCTGTGAACATGGCCACACAAATACTAAGTCCCTGCTTTCAACTTATTGGTTTAGAGCCAGGGACAAATTGCTGGATCATAAGGTCATTCTAGGGGGCATGGTTTCAGAGACGGGCGCGTTTTGCAAGTTTGGCCAAGAGAAGTCAGGGAAGATATGCTGGAGGGGTTGGGAAAGTGTCTCTCTCTCTCTCTCTTTTTTTTAGGTAGGCTCCATGCCCAACCTGGGGCTTGAACTCACGACCCTGAGATTGAGAGTCACGTGCTCTACCAACCCAACCAGCCAGGCGCCCCAGTGTTTCTTCGATGTACAAAAACAGCCCTCCACAAAGAGCTGCTGGAATCGGGGAGTCTGGAGTCTGTGAACCTGGGTGTGAAATAATCACGTGCTGATTGTCACTGAGTTTGGCATTTCCCTCCTTTATGTAAGTGAGCAAAAAACCATCCAGGGCCTAGGCCTTGGTCACCAACAGTGTCACGGATGGCTTCAGCCCATGTTACATTTATTGTGGAAATTTCAGAATATCATTTAGACTCAAGTCATGGTAGTTCTTAAATCCACCACCAGATATTATTATTTAGTGTATCATTAAGAAGCACATATATTAGCATATCACATTTAAACAATATGTTGAGAATTTTAATGTAATTGATTTCCTTTGTAATCTTATGTATTTTGCCTTAGGTGTTTAAAAACATGATACTGAGGGGCGCCTGGGTGGCTCAGTCGTTAAGCGTCTGCCTTCAGCTCAGGTCGTGATCCCAGGGTCCTGGGATTGAGCCCCACATCGGGCTCCCTGCTCCGCGGGGAAGCCTGCTTCTCCCTCTCCCACTCCCCCTGCTTGTGTTCCCTCTCTCGCTATGTCTCTCTCTGTCAAATAAATAAACAAAATCTTCAAAAAAAAAAAAACCAAACAAACATGATACCGAGAAGGGGTTCTTCAGTTGTCAAAAGCCTAGTTTAGATAATGTTAGGAAGATGATGTGATGTCTGGAGCCCTGGCAGCCACTTTTTTACTCTGTGGGGCTCAGCCTGATGGCAAAGCTGACTCAAGAATGGCAGAGTGAGGAGTGGGGGAAGTTTCAGGGTCCTTTCCCAGCTATTACCATAATTAACCAGCCCTGGAAACTCCCCTCTTCGGGACTTCTTATTTCTTGCCGTTAACTAATGGCTTTGTTGTTTGGCCAGCTGAGTCAGGGTTTTCTTTCTTTCTTTTTTTTTAAGATTTTATTTATTCATTTGAGAGAGAGAGAGACAGAGAGAGAACAAACATGGGGAGAGGCAGCGGGAGAGGGAGAAGCAGACTCCCTGCGGAGCTGGAAGCCTGACGTGGGGCTCGAATCCAGGACTTGGAGATCATGACCTGAGCTGAAGGCAGACGGTTAACCATCTGAGCCACCCAGGTGCCCCTGGGGTTTTCTTTTCCTTTTTTTAAAAAAATTTTTTAGGGGCGCCTGGGTGGCTCAGTTGGTTAAGCGACTGCCTTCGGCTCAGGTCATGATCCTGGAGTCCCGGGATCGAGTCCCGCATCGGGCTCCCTGCTCGGCAGGGAGTCTGCTTCTCCCTCTGACCCTCCCCCCTCTCATGCTCTCTGTCTCTCATTCTCTCTCTCTCAAAAAAAAATTTTTTTTTTTATTTATTTGTTTGACAGAAAGAGACAGTGAGAGAGGGAACACAAGCAGTGGGAGTGGGAGAGGGAGAAACAGGCTTCCTGCTGAGCAGGGAGCCAGATGCAGGGTTTGATCCCAGGACCCTGGGATCATGACCTCAGCGGAAGGCAGAGGCTTAATGACTGAGCCACCCAGGCGCCCCTGGGGTTTTCTTTCTTATGCATTGATGGTATCATGGCTGAAAGAGGGTATTTCTGAAGGGGTCCAGGAATGGCCTAGGGAAAGAAGGGTGAGGACAGCATCCTGCTGGCCTGTTCAGAGCCTTTGCATGAATTAGAAAATTGTGCTCCTCTGGGTGGATGAAAAGTGCCCTAGCTGGGGGCTGTGACTTTGGGCCAAAATAAAAGTCCTTTTTCTTCCAGGCTGACATAGCCCCCAGGTGAGGGTGCAGGGCTTGTATAGGGGGACTTGAGCTGGCTCTCATCCCCATGCAGCTCTTGTGTAGGGTACAACCTGTGCAACTGTACATGGAAGTCCTAGAAGAAGACCCCGAGGCTGAGGAGGGCGGGTGGGCTTTCTGAAGGGACACGTGGCCATGTGGCAAGGGTGGGGCCTGCAGAAGTCAGTTCTCATACACAGGCACTTGGGCTGCACTTGAGGGAGACCCACAAATGGCCTGCATCCGTGGCCCGCAACTCCTGTTCCCAGCCCGGTGAGGACCTTGCTTTGTTCACCAGGGACTACCCTGCAGATGTACCTCTTGTTCATGCCACAAAGCTGCCCTCGGCCCCATCTGAATCTGAGCACCCCCACTGATGCCTGGACCCTTGTCCAGTGTCCTGGGCATGCACTGGGGGGGCGTGGAGGACTGACTGTACCAGCTCAGGACCCCAGAGCCAGGCAGGTGGTGAAAGATTGCCCCTCCCCCACAGGAGCATTTCAGACATCAGGGGCTGTTGTGTCCAGGACCCCACCCCCAGGTTCTCTCTGGGAAGCAGCCAGAGTGCGGGTTCTGGGGGGGGGTCACGTGCCCGCTGATGGAAGTGTTGGGGTCTGCAGTCTGGAGTCTGGAAGGTCTACAGGCCAGGGAGGATTGAGCCAAGAAAGGCCTGGGCAGCAGGTAAGGCGAGGGAGGGTCTCTATTTTTATTTTTGAACTGGGTCTTTAGGATGCGTGAGGGCTTTTGGCAGGAGGCGAGTACAGCTGACCCTTGAACAACATGGGGGTTGGGGGCACTGACCACTGTGCAGTTGAAAGTCTGCATATAATTTCTGGCTCTCCAAAAACGTAACTCCTAATAGCCTACTGTTGACTGGAAGCCCAACAGCGTGAACAGTCCATTAACACATATTTTGTCTGGGGGTGCCTGGCAGGCTTAAAAAAAGAAAAGAGGGGTGCCTGGGTGGCTCGGTCGGTTAAGCGTCTGCCTTCGGCTCAGGTCATGATCCCAGGCCCGCTCCCCCCTGCTCGTGTGTTCTCTCTCTGTCACATAAAGAAATAAAATCTTTAAAAAATAAATCATAAGGAAGAGAAAAGACATTTACCAAATGCACACACTTCAGACCCACGTTGCTCAGGGCCATCTGCACAGGTCGAGGGAAGCTGCAGCCCTGTGTGGAGGGTGTGAGTGAGTGGAGGAGAGCGAACCGGAGGGGAGGCAGGGCAGGTGGACAGAGGCCAGACCATTAGGGACCCTGACACTGGGCGCCGGGCACTGGGGAGCCACGGGGGAGGTTTAAGCTGAAAGGGGCACCATCACACTTGCCTTTTCGGAAGCCACTCCGCCTGCCCCGGTGGACGCCTTGCGGGCAAGCTGTGCTAGGGAGACATGCTTGTTACTATCCACCCCCCTGCGCCCCCGCCCCGAGCATCAGGAGTTGATCAGAACAGCGCTCAGGCCTCGCTGAACCGGGGCCGAGCAGACCCCTTGTTCCTCGCAGCTGACCGAGATGGATTCTGCGCGGGTTCCAGCAACAGTGGATGGCCCCTCCGTTTGGTAGATATAGCTGAGGCCAGAGACAGGCCTGTCCCCCTGAGGGTTCGCAGCACGGGTGGGGGGCGGGGGGAGCCCTGAAGGGCGCAGGCCCTTCGGAGCAGGAGTGGGGTGGTGGCCCATGCGAGCAGGCCGAGGCTTGCCACCAGCCAGGGGCCTCTCCATGGCCAAGGAATCTGGTCCGGCTCCTGGCAAGGACGTCTTGGCAGGAGCGGGGCTCTGCCCGGGGTGCTAACGCCCTCTTAATTAGCCAGGCTCTTGCCAGGCACCTGCTGCCGCAGCCTCACTTTGCAAAACACGCTTGGGCCTCAGGGCCAGACCAGGATCTGCCCCCCTGACAGGTGCGGCATCCTGGGACCCTGAAAACGGCACATCCCTCCTTCAAGCTGGACTAGGGCCTTTCCGATCAGTCCAGGTCTCGGGGGCCCTGTTTGTAACCGGAAGACGCAACGGCCCGAGATTGGCAGGGGATGTTTGCAGAGACGGGGTGCAGGGGCGATGGCCTCCTGTGCCCTCCTCGGCTCTGTCCCCACAGTGCTAGGGTGCAGCCTGCGGCCTCGGATGGCACAGCGGTCCTGGAGTCCCTCCCCCTTGCAGGGCGCCCTGGAGGGACGCAGGCCGCACATAGCAGGCTGCCTCGAGGGGGCCCCCGGGGACAGCAGAACAACGGAAGCCATTCACAGGCTCCCGCCTCCAGGCAGGTCATTTATGGTGGGCTGACGTGGACAGAACTTCTGGCCCCTCGGGCATGCCTGGGCCACACTCCCCTCCTTCTGAGGGATGGGAAGCCCAGTCCCCATCACACAGCTCTGAGCTGCTGGCTCGGAGCTCCCAGGACAACCTCATGCCCCTGTCCTTTCGTAGAGGGGGCTGTGATGAGCCCAGGGCCACCCCGGGGGCCCCAAGCGCTGGTCTCTGGGTGATAGTCCAGAGAAGCTGGCAGAGCCCTGGGCAGGGAGGGTGTGAGGTCTCCAGCGTCTCACTGGGTGTGGTGTGGGGCTGCCAAGCCGGGTGTGAAGGGGGAGCCCTGCGGGGAAGGTGTGAGGAGGTTGGGAGGCTGGGGAGGCTGCAGCTGCCTGGGAGGGAGGGGTGTGACCCCGCCCCCCAGGGAGGGAGGGGGAGCAGCTGCTCTGGAGGGAGTAGCCGGGAGGAGCTGTCTGTGCTGTGAGCTGCAAGTCAACAGTCTGGGGCTGGGGTTCGGGTCCTCAGACTATCACACCTAACTACGTAATTTGGTTGTGTTCTTTGTTTTTCCCCTGAGGTTGATGGATTTTTAAAATTGAGGTAAAATTTGCATAGCATGCAACTTACTCTTTTAAAGTATATACTCCTGGGGCGCCGGGGTGGCTCAGTCGGTTAAGCACCTGCCTTCGGCTCAGGTCATTGTCCCGGGGTCCTGGGATCAAGCCCCGCTAGCCCCGCTTTGGGCTCCCTACTCAGCGGGGGGCCTGCTTCTCCCTCGCCCTCTGCCTGCCGTTCCTCCTGCTTGTGCTCTCTCGCTCTCTGTCAAATAAATAAATAAAATCTTTTTTTAAAAAAAGATAAAGTATATACTTCTGTAGTATTAACTACATTCACCAGCACCTGTCCCTACCTCCAGAGCATTTCTCTCACCCCAAAAGGAACCCTGTACCCATCAAGTAGTCCCTCCTCATCCCCCTGCAACCACCAATCCTCCTTCTGTGGGGTGAGTTCCTTCACCTCATCTGGAAAATGGGGAAGACACCCAGCTTGTTGGAACGTTAAAGCAGATAAAGCTCTCAGCACAATGCCTGGAGCTCTTATGAGAATGAATGCCTGCCTCCCCCACCAGATGGACTCTGTGCCCCGCGAGGGCAGAGCCCAGCGAGAGGGTCCCCAGGGGCCGGTCCAGCTTGCACCCAGCTCTCAGGCTGGGGAAGATTCCTGCCAGGAGGACCCCTAGGGAGCCCGGGGTGTAGGAGCCCTGGATAGCATGGCTCAGCTCAGGGAGGGGTAGAGGTGAGCCCGAGGCTGGTCCAGGCAGTCATTGCCCAGGATTGAGCTGGAAGCATCAGCCCGGTAGGAATTTTATGACTCCCTACATGCCCTGGTGCAGGGAGGGGTGCAAGCAGCCCTGGTGACTGGGCGGGGGGGTGGTTCATTGGGAAGAGTCGCCAAAGGATGGAAGCGAGATGCAGAGAAAGAAGCTGAAGCTAAGCCAAATATATAAACAAGACCCTCAGAAATAAAGCTATGCATTTCTGTATCTAAATATCTATCACTATCTCCTATCCATCTATCAACCTATCTACCCATCCATCTATTTACCTATCTATCCATCTATCACCCATCTTTCTATCTACCTATCATCTATCAATCTATCCATCCACTATCCATCCATCCATTATCTATTATCTGTCTATCCATCCATCTTTCCATCTATCAACCTATTTTCTATCTAATCTATCTATTCATCCATTCATCTATCATCTATCAACCTATTTTCTATCTAATCTATCTATTCATCCATTCATCCAACATCTATCTACCTATCTATCCATCTATCTTTCTACCTACCTATCATCTCTCCATCCATCCATCCATCCATCCATCCATCCATCCATTATCTATTATCTGTCTATCCATCCATCTATCTTTCCATCTATCATCTATCAACCTATTTTCTATCTAATCTATCTATTCATCCATTCATCCAACATCTATCTACCTATCTATCCATCTTTCTACCTACCTATCATCTCTCCATCCATCCATCCATCCATCCATCATCCATCCATCCATCCATTTATCTATCCGTCTATC